GAAAAAAAGTATTTTTTTCCCACCATAGAGAACAATGGAGGGATGGGGGCAACCTGTTTGGGGGCCCATAGAATTGGACCCCCTGGTCCAATCTTCTTGATATTTGGTGGGCATGTTGGGGAGAGGTTCCAGTAACCACCCTCCAAGTTTGGAGCCTCTCCCTCTAACCCCCCCCTAGGGGTCTGCAAAAAGGAAAGCAGAAGGTTAAAATCCCATTGAAATGCATTGCCGCCGAATTTCGGCGGCAAACCGGGAATACAGCAAGCTGATCTGGGGGGACTGGGGGCACCCTCTTTGGATGCCCCTGGAATCGGACCCCCTGGACCAATCTTCTTGAAACTTTGGGGGTCTTTCAGGGAGAGGCCTGAGCAGCCACGGTCCAAATTTGGAGGCTCTACCCCCTCCCCCCCAGCCCCCCGCAAAGTTTCAAGAGGTTTTTTGCCATTGACTTCAATGGCCCCATTGGTTATAATGGACCCGAATTTTTTCGGGATTTTTTTTCGGGATTCGGGAAAATGCATAGGAAGCCATTTCGGAATTGCAAAAGCCGAAAAAAGCCGAAAAACGTTATTTTCGGCTTTTTTCGGTTTGGGATCCCGAAATGCACATCCCTAGTGGAGAAGCTTCTTGGGAAAAAAAAGGGAATTTGAGGAGGGTGCCGGGGAGCAGCAGTGAGTAAAAGATGTGGCTTCTCCCCTCCCCCCCCCCACCGCCACACTTCAAATGAGGGGTCCTCAGCCTTTTTGAGCCTGTGGGTACCTTTGGACTTCTGACACAGGGCGCGGCCACAAAATGGCTACTGGGAGAGGTGGAGCAACATGCACGCACAAGAAGCGCAAGGCCTAGTATGAAAAAAATAGGCTGGGGAAAAGGAGAGCATTAAACCAATAACGGTAGTGGCAGGTGCCACTGAAACAATGTTACGTTATGTTGTCGAAGGCTTTCACGGTCAGAGTTCATTAGTTGCTGTAGATTTTCCGGGTTGTCTGGCCGCGGTCTTGGCATTGTAGGACCTGCACTCCATCTTTCTGTGTTACACCTCTGAGGAGGCCAGTCACAGCTACTGGCGAAACGTCAGGTCCTGCAATGCCAAGACCACGGCCAGACAACCCGGAAAATCTACAGCAACTGATGTTACTTTAACCTGTACAGCCAATCAGAAGCCATTCTGGGCAGGAGGCCCACATGGCCCCACTTGACAGGCCCCGAGAAAGGTGTTGGTGGGCACCGCGGCACCCTGCCTTCCTGTCTTCCCCTGCACTTCTGAAGCAGAGGTTCCAGGTTGGGCTGCATTGGCCTGGCAAGCAGGGGAAGCAGCCTCACCAGCCAGTCCCCTTTCCCCCCGAGAGAAGTTGTTCACCCCACCCTTGGGTGCAGGACTGGCAGCCGCCTGCATTAGGAGGACACTCCTTGCGCCCCCCGGGTGCCAACCCAGGGTGTTTTTTGCAGCAATGGTAGTAATGCCCCTCTGTGGTTTTAGTGATGAAATTCTGATGCTTCTCCACGCATTGACGTATGCCATGCTTCTCCCTTGAAGGAACGTGATGGTTTTGGAAGCCTCGCTGTGGCCCGGGGGAGAGGTCGTGGCCGTGGAGACTGGAGTGTCGGGACTCCTGGAGGCGTGCAGGAAATCACCTACACGGTGCCGGCGGATAAATGCGGCCTTGTCATTGGCAAAGGTGAGCAGCCTGGGCATCGAAGGTCCTCCCTGTGAGCTTGTTAAGGAAAGTCGCTGGAGGTATTGCTTTGAGGAGTTGGAAAGGATCACTCCTGATCTGTGGTCTCTTCCCAAGGAGCACCTCCCCTGTTCCTCTTATCTGTGCCCCTCCTCTTCATGGGTCCATGTCGCCGGTAGGGTTTTGCAACGGCCGCTGGTGCTCAGCAGCTGGCAGCTCTTCAACGCTTGGGAGAGTCTGCCAATTTGCGCCTTCACCACCTGGTGTTTTTAACAGTAGAAAAGAGCAAGAGTCCAGTAGCAGCTTAAAGACTAATGAAACCTGTAGCAGGGTGTGAGCGTTCGTGAGTCACTGCTCACTTCTTCTGGTGCTCCTGGACTCTTGCTCTTTTCTACTGTGTCAGACAGACTAACAGGCTGCCCATCTTGGTGTTTGTAGATCAGGGGTCAAACAAGTGTGATAACACAGTACACGGGATCATGAAACAAACAAGCACTGCATAAATAACGCAGATCAAAGAGTGCCCGGGTAATATAAACAGCAGGAAAACACATCATGTAATGCACAAGTACATAGGTAGTACGGAACAGGTAGTACAAAGACGAAGACTCCGGATTTCAATCTTCATTTCGCTTTTACTGAGTTTATGGAGGAAACCATTTCTTTTACCTGTGCTCTCCAGGCTGTCTCTCCGCTGTTTGCCTGATCCATTGCTTGCTGTCTTCATCATTCCACTTTATGCCACGTCATCGTTTTATTCCGCTTAATTGCTTTTCAGTGTTAATTTATGGTGTATTAAATTTTTTTGGAAAACCTCTCTGGAAAAATATTTTTCCCCCACAGGGTGAGATATAAATTTAAAGAAATGGAGCCCTCATGGTGTACCTCTGAAGGAAGCCCAGTTGTGGGGAGAAGGCTGCTCCATGTCCTGGCTGTGGACGCCTCTGCCTCCCCCCCCCCCCCGGCCGGGGTTTTCGGTTTAAAAGGCCTTTGGGGGTCTGATCCAGTGATGCTCTTCCCGCTGCCAATGCCAACTTTTGTCCTACATTACCCTTGACTGCCCGAGGTCCGTTTGTTTATAAAAATCTTCCTGGTTCTGGAAGAAACTCAGACTTGGGTCTCAGAGGCTCTCTGGAGTCTGAGGTCGCTCTCTGGAGTCAGGAGGTCGCTACCAAGAATCATATTTCTGAACTCACCCCGTCATTCACAGAACCAGCTGGCACGCACTGACAGCCCCCACGGGCAAAGGTCGGAGCAATCTGAGCCTTAAAAACCGAAGTTTGGCCCCTCAAACGCTACTTCATTTGCCCGCACCCAAATGCTACTTCACCGCCCGCGCTGACTCGTTGAGCTGCTGGTGGGTCTCTGGTCCCCCCCCCTCCCTTGCACACTCTGGGGGTGTCTGTGGGGTGCAGCTTTCCTTTGTTTTTTAAAGAAGGGAAGACAGTCCTCCAATTGTCCCGTGCTTCCCTGTGTGCCAGCACTTGGAAACAGACCGCAGCCTCCATGGGCCCCTGGTGGATTTCCATGATAAACGCCCTGATCTCGACAGATAATGCAGCCCAGCCCTGCTCTTGTCAACTCTGCCTTTTATTGCTGTTTGATTAATTACTTTACAATTTTGCCATCCAGCTGTGGGGGTTTGGTGGAGGTTGTGCATGCACTGCTGTGCCTCCATCAGGCTGAAGAATGGAAGGCGCCTGTTGAGTGACTCTCGTGGACGGGTGCCATGTGCTGAGCGGGTGACCTTGTTTGCCAAAAGGGGGCAAGGAGCATCTCCTGGCGCTGGCTGGCATTGCGCTTGCCTCCACCGCAGGGCTTCCCGGGGCCCAGGAGGGGAAGGGCTCTTGCAAGTACTAGAGAGTGGGTGGCAGTGCGCAAACGCTGCTCCCGCTGTTGTCTCCATGTTCGTTTTTTTTGTAGTACTTCCCAAACCTGCAAAACTTGTTTTGACCAGTGGCAACAAAAGAAAAGAGTTCTCGCACCCCAGGAAACGTGCTTCTTTTGTATCTTTCGGACAAAGCCGTAGCCTGTTTGCAAGCAAAGCCATGACTCAGGAGTGAGGATTTACTTATAATTGGGGGGGCGGGGGAGGCGAGATCACACAACCACCTTCTGTACAAATCTTGTTTAAAAATTAAATTGGCGCAGAGGTACACTAGCAGCAATTCTCGAGCAAATAGCTATTTATCAGTTCCCTCCTCTTGTTCCTGGAGGAAGCGGCTGGCCGGCCTTTAGAATCTTCCTGAATGCCTCTCAGAGGGCAAAGGTCCCTCCCATCAAGGCCTTTGCTCCAAGGCCAAGGGACGGGGGACTGGGCTTTTCCAGGGCCAGGGGGAGAGAGGATGACTTGCCCCTCACGGTCCTTACAGAGCGCCTTATTGACTGCAAAGAGGTTCATGATTGACACCTTGCCGGCAATGCATTTCAGATTCGAGACCGATCCATTGCTTCCATTTTCAGTGTAAATAAGACTGGAATAATTATTACTAGTGGTGTGATGATTTTTAAAATAGCAGTTCGAACTGCAGAATATGACCTGGTATTTATTCAGCAGCTTTTCACGGGTATGACATTGTTTTCAGTTATATCACTACATTGTTTTTGTAGTTAAGAAGGTGCTGTGAGAAGGTGGGGGAGGGGATTTATAAAAATCCCCATTCCATCCCCAAGGACCCCCCCCCATGGTGCAGGATGTTCACGGGGGGGTGGGGAGGGAGCAGGCTGACTTGGTTGCTTTACCTTTCTTTCATCCTTTGACTCTTAGCCGCTCTCAGTGTACTGTGCCTTTCCGGGACATGCTGTGTACTCACCAGACTGGGTGTGCCCCCCCCCCTTTCATTTAATTTACAGTGTGTCATTTTTTAGCATATCTGGGGAATGCCCCAAGTAGTTAGACTTCCAGTGGTGTCTGTTTTGACCTGATTTTTTTAATTTCCCAATTGTCCTGGCGGCCTACCCCACCTGACTACTAGATATGGTGATAAACCAAATAGTCCATAGTTGTGTGTTACGGCATGTTGTGTAACATTTCAGGAAAACAGTCTTCAATGCTGAAAGTACTTAAAATATATATCTGAATTGTTTTGTTTGTTGATGTGAAGACAGCTGCAAAATAATATAATCCTGGGGGGGGTTGGAACAGGTAAAGCTCTGTATAAATTCTGCCTCATCATTTGTGTTAAGGTGTAATGAATCAGCTTATTTTTCTCCCCTTTCCCACCATATCTCCCCCCCCCCATATCTGAGACCCAACAAAGGGTCATGGCTTACAGGGTTCTACTTGGGGGACCTGGATGCAAGTCCCCATTTGGGTCGTCAGGAGTCCCCATTAACAGGAGTCAGCCCAATGACAATAGTTTGCCTATTCTCTAGTAAAACCTACTTTATTCTCTAGACAAACAGCTCATCATGTGGTCAAGCTGTTGATGGAGTAGAACAAAGTTTGAGTCCAGTGGCACCTTTATGACCAATGAAGTTTAATTCTGGGTATAAGTTTTTGGGTGCACGCAACTTATACCCAGAATTAAACTTCGTTGGTCTGAAGGGTGCCCCACTGGACTCAAACTTTGTTCTGTTGTTTCAAACCCAACATGGCCGCCCACCTGAATCTATGTTCCTGGACTTGTAACTCTTCAAACAGCATGCTTGCATTAATGGTCTGTATTATAAAAACTACTGTGTGCACCGGGGTGAGCGGGTGGGCTGTGCTCATTTTCTCTGGGCTGGAGGTTTGAGTCTGTGTGTGTAGCTGCAGTCGGATGGGAAGGGGCAGGTCAGAACTTTAGGCAACCAGGCCTATTTATGTGCTGCTCTGCAGACCTCACAGCTCCAAGTCAGGCATTCCTTGGGCTGTGTGATCTACTGTTTGCATAGACCAGTTTATGTTCTCCTGGACCGTGACAGCAAGAGCTGTCTATTTGCCGCAAGAAGGAATTGCCTGTCCCCTGGCTGTACATATACATAATGGGGGGGGGGGTTTGACCTGAAAAAGAGCACCTTGACTTGTTTGCCTGCATTGGAAGGGCAAGTGGTTGCAGAGACTTGCTGATTGGTGTTGTCCACTTTTTCAGCAGATTGCCCTCCTCATTCCTGCAGTTGTTTCAGCTGGTGGCCCCATCTAGGATTTGGGGAGGGGGGAGTCATGCCACGTATGGCACTTCCCCCGCCCCCTTTTGCTCTGCTTCAGTGAGGCTAACCTCCAAAGCTGTGTGAAATTTGGAAAGGAAAGAGAGAATTCAACCATTGTGGCTGCAGTAGAAGCCTTTGTTAGGCAAATTTCATTGAGACCACGATATACACACCCCCTTGCATTTTTATGTGTCTCTCTTTCTCCCTGTCCTTTTGACTGCCGAGTCAAACCAAACTTTCATTAGTCTTGCTCCTCCCTATGACAAGCCTCTCCTGTTTGCTCATTTTAAGGGGTCTGCATTGGTAGGCGAGGGGGGGTGTCTTGTTCAAGGCAGATGGGTATCAGTTGTCTTTGAAGTGTGTTGGTGGACAAAGCTGTGTGGTGGCCTGCACATTATTGTAGAGAGGAGAGGGGAGAGGCTGCACATTGTGTGTCTGTAAGAGTTAATGCTCTAGGTCTGCCTCCACCCAGTGGGAATGCATGCCCAGGGACTCCACTGACGGTAGCCAGTTTTCACAGTTGCCCATTCCAAGGGCAAGCAAGGCAGGATTGAAGCCGGTGCCTCCAGTTTTAACTTGGGTGGTGTGAGCAGATAGTCACCTGTCTGAACAGGGGAAGCACTGCTGCAGTCGTTCAGTGACCATGGGGGGGTGTTTCCTTGCTCTCCGCGGTCCCTGCACACTTGGCCACTGAAAGTTCTGTGGTGAGACTCCTGCCGAAGCGTTCCAAGCAAGTGCCTTTGTTCTTCCATCATTCTTGTGCTTGTTACACAGGGGTCGGTTCCCACACCCACTCATGTCACTTGTTACTGCCCATCTTGACTGGGTCTGCACAGGCCACGGGAGTTAGAGAAGAAGAAGAAAAAGAAGAGATTGGATTTATACCCCGCCTTTCACTACCCAAAGGTGTCTCAGAGCGGCTTACAAACTCCTTTCCCTTCCCCTCTTCACAACAGACACCCTGTGAGGGAGGTGGGGCTGAGAGAGCTCTGGCAGAAACTGCTCTTTTTCAAGGACAGCTCTTATCAGAGCTACGGCTTGCCCAAGGCCATCCAGCCAGGTGCAAGTGGAGGAGTGGGGAATCAAACCCGGTTCTCCCAGATTAGCGTCCGCGCACTTAACCACGACACCAAACTGGCTACACCAAACTGCCATTTCAGAGGGTGCCATTTTTGACTATGCAGTCTCCCTACAGTTAGAACTGGCACACTGATGGGAGGTGTTCTAGTCCAAGTGTCTCCACCCTTCTTGAGTCTGCGGGCACATTTGGCATTCTGACCCGGCATGGTGAGCACAGCAACAAAATGGCTGCTGCAGGAGGAGGAGGAGCCATCCGCAAAACGATTGCTGTAGTTTGCCTTCCGTCACACCATGGAGATCCTTGTGCTGTGGTGGCAGCTGCTGTCAAAGCAACACTTTTTTGAAATCTGCACAGCCAGCCCAGAGGCACCTTGTTGGGGAGTCCTGTTCCAGCCCGTCCCTCTCAATGTTGTGCTCTTATGGTTTACTTGAGGAGATTGTTGGGGGGTTTTTCACATAGGAATGCTAAAATAATACAGGATACTTGACTGGCAGATGGAAGTGGTCTCGTCTGATTTTTTCACCGGAGGACTCCTCTACCTGTGCAGGCTGTGCATAGAGCCTGTGCAAGGCGGTGGATCAGAACAGGAGACAACCAAGGCTCCCTCTCAGCTGTGAAGTCTTGGGAGCAAACATTCTACTTTGTGAGCTACTGGCATTAACGTAAGTGAGCGATTTGGCTAAGGCATAAATTAGTTTGCTCTGGAGCCATCCTTCCTGAGCCAAGACAAAAATATGTGAGCTGGAGGCTAAAAAACTGTGAGCTAGCTCACACTGACTCAGCTGAGAGGGAACATTGGCGACCACTGAGTTAGTTGCGTCCTGCTTTGCTCCCCAGTGGAAGGGCAGCCTTGGTCTCTCTGTGCCAGGCCAGGAGGCCTTTGCCCTCCCACTCGCTCAGGTCTTAAAGGGTTACCTGCAAGAAAGGGGCCGAGGCTGAACTTCCAGGCCGCTGGCGGTTCCAGTCCCTTCCTTTCCAAGCCTTCCTGACCTCTGCTTGGAAGGCCCCCGGCACCTGTAAATCCTCCTCCTACAAACAGTGATCGACTGAGTGTCACATAAAGCCAATGACCAAAGCAGCCAACCTCTCCCTCCCTCTCTTCTCCCTGCCCCCCTTCATCTCCTCTTCCATAGGCGGCGAGAACATCAAGAGCATAAACCAACAGTCCGGAGCCCACGTGGAGCTTCAGAGGAACCCGCCTCCCAACACGGACCCCAATGTGCGGATATTCACCATTCGAGGAGTCCCCCAGCAGATCGAGCTTGCCAGACATCTCATAGATGAGAAAGTTGGCGTGAGTACAGCGCAGGGCGCTCATGTTTCTCGACCCCCCACCCACTTTTGGAGAGCACCCCCCCCCCCCCGCGAGGGCCTATCTGCGCGAGGTCATATCTGCTTGCCGGACTAGATGCTGGGGGGAACAAAGGTGGGAGGAACGCCACCGAAGGATGTGGGCTGGGGGGGGGCCCACCGCCGTTCCCATTGTATCGTGCTTGTGGTAATCGAAAAAAGTAAATTGCTTTTGTACAAAAAAAAAGAAAAGACGTCGAGACCCTTTGGACAGCACCCTATAAGCCTCCTTTCTCTCTTTTGACAGGGTACTAGCCTGGGGGGCCCTGGAGGCTTTGGGCAGAACCCCTTCAGCCAGCCACCTGCCACTCATCAAAAGTAAGCTTCCTCGTTTGCCCCTCATACCCCTCGAATGCAGTTTCACACACACACACCCTGCGATGTCTTGTTTGCATCAGCCTCTTTGCAGAGCGTCCTTGTTGTGCGAGGCGGCTCGCAGTGTAACAGATAAGTTGAGCAGTACCTGTCTTGGAAGAGGGCACAATCCAGAATTTCGTGTGAGCAACCATGGGAAGGGGGAGAGGAGTCGGGCCAGCGGAGGAAGAACGTGCGTTCCGTTCATCGATTCAGCAAGCTTAGTGTTGGGAGTGAATCTCCGGGAGGAAGAGAAAGCCTTGCCCTCAGTCCTGGGACCCTTTGCCCAGAGGTGCTGGCGACTTATGCTGTGGTTTCCTGAATGCAGAGTGGGTGGTTCCTCCCATGCCCGTGGGCATGATGCACCTGGCCCCTTCTGTTAGGGACATATAAAGCCCCTTTTATACCCCTGGTCTGTCTCGCTCAGTGTTGCCTGCTCTGACTGGCAGCTGCTGAAGGAGAGAAGGGGCATCCCTCGTGCTTTGCTACCTGAGCGCCTGAATGGAACCTGGGTCCTTCTGCATACGGAGCATGCCGTCCAGGATCCTGAGTCAGTGCATCCAGCTTGGTCATTGTCCACTCCGAGGGGCAGCAGCCTGTCAAGGCTCAGAGGCAGAACTTCTCCAGCCCCTGTTGCTGGGGGTCCTTTAACTGGAGAGGCCGGGGGCTGGACCTGGGACAACTTTCTGCACGAAGGGCCACAGAGCACTGCCCCTCTCCTAGTATGTAGGCTTAGTTCTGGCAGTAGATGGGTATAAGGGGCTGATGTGGAAGGGGGAGGGGAAAATGTGAAGATGGGCAGAGAGAGGGCATCAGACAGATGTTCCAGGAGGGCGTTTTAGGCATAAGGGGACAGCAAGGGAGAGGTGTGGAGCCACTTCAGAAAGCAGAAGAGTTTCAGACATCTGAGGCCGGCAGAGCTGAAGGGATAGAATCATAGAATGTTAGAGCTGGAAGGAACCTTGCAGGTCATCTAGTCCAACCCCCTGCACTCTGCAGGAGCATAGCCGAAAGAGAGCCCTACAACATTCCCGAAAGATGGCCGTCCAGCCTCCGCTTGACAACGTCCAACGAAGGAGCATCCACCAACTCCCGAGGCAGTCTGTTACACTGCTCAACCACTCTTACAGTTAGGAAGTTTCTCCTGATATTTAGCCGGTATCAACTCCCTTGTAATTTCCACCCATTAGATCTAGTCTTGCAATCCGGAGCAAGAGAGAATAGAACTGCTCCATGATACAGGAAGTGCCTTAAAGTTGTGATAATGTTGCCACTGCTGGAAATTCACCTCTCCCTGTTTTGGTTACCATCTCTTGGGTAACTGGATACTGTTTGAACGGGAGCACAAGCGAGGGCCTTTTCAGTGGCAGCCCCACAACTGAGGGACAACTTAATAGCGGTCCCCTGAGTTGTGGTTTTAAATTTGGTTTTTAACATTTTTTTAAATTCTCTGTGTTTTATCTGCATCGTAAACCTCCTTGAGCCCCTTTAGGAAGAACGTTTTGAAGGAATGAAGAAATAAATAGAACTGTCACCTTGGTTCCTACTTGGGCTGTGGAATTTGATTGTCGATGTGCGGTGTGTGTGTGTGTTATATCATGACGGGCTCCGACAGGTCGGTCGGTCTGGTGCTGGGCTTCTTGTGGGAACGGTATTTGTTATCGTGTTTGGGGCTGAATCCTTCCAGGAGGGGGCTGGCCTTTGATGCATGTGCTTGGGTGTACTTTATTTCTGGTTGGTCTGATGCGTTGTGTTTTAAGTTAATATCGTAGTGTGTTCTTTGTTCTATTGAGCAGAATGTGGGATATTCCATTTTTAAGAGAAATGAATGAAACAGAGAAAGGTTGGTTTGAAAGGTCTCCTTGACCACGAGAGTGAGGGCTGCACAGTGTGTGTGTGTGTGGGGAGCGGAGACTATAGTGCTGCCTCCATGGTAACTCCAACGCAGCTCCAGTAACATGCAAAGCTTCCGCCTGTCATTATACCGGAGGAGTGTGCGGGGGGGGGGGGGGCGGGGGGGGCGCGCTCTCGCCAC